TCATACCTTCTCTTTTTCTCTTCCTCTATCTGACTGTTTTTCCTTGTCTCTTTCTTTCTCTTTTTCTTTCTTGGCAGAATCATCTCGTTTTCTTTTATCTGAACTGTCTGTCTTGTTAGAAGAACTCTCTTTTCTCCTAGAGGAGTCACCCTATAATTGGAAATTTTCCAATCAGGAAAGCACTTATAAAACTCACCACAACCTAGCTAAAGGATAATTATTTACTGAATAAGTAATTACATACAGCAAATTATGTTTCATTAATTTTGTTAACTAACAAAAAACATTAATTAATTAATTAATTAATTAATTAATTAATGGTAAAGTTGAACAAAAGACATATTCATAAGAAGGATGACAATGATATAAACTTAAGGGAAACTTTTGTCTATTATAATATTGTTTATTATGGAGAATTGATTTACTTGGAAGTGAACCTCATACCAGGGCTGAGGAGAGGGGTGTTGTGATGATGTGATGATACATCTCTCTACATTATAGAGTCTTCGGGCCCTCCTGCCCTCAGATAAAAAAAGACGGGAAATTCCAAAATACCCTAAGATGCCACAGGAAGTTCTGTATATTTTGTTATGCATAAGTTTGAAGACAATGTCTGGCACATGCTTGTAACTGCTTCAAATGAAATCAATGGAAGAAAAGCCACTATTTAAAATGGTGCATGATATGAATCACAAAACAAACAAACCACGTAACACTTTATAGCATTAATCTTTGCTTGGTGTAATATTAATACAAATGAGTAGTACCTGCTTTCGTTTGTCTTTGTCATCCTCTTTTTCTCTGTCTCTACTTCTGTCTCGTTCTTTATTTTTCTCTTTGTCCTGTTCCTTTGAGCTTTCTCGGTCTTTGCTTCCACTGGATTCTTTTCTCTTGCTATCACTGCTGCATAAAAATAACATGCAAAACATGATTCTATTCAGCCCTAACAGGAAGCGGGGAGGGAGGGGGGTGCGTTGAAGGAAGCACTTATCTCCCACCAATGTGGTTCAGAACTGGTTTGAGTGCTGGAACTGGTGTTATAAGTGGGCTCAGTTTGTCATGTGGTCAGTTCTTTTCATTGTTCCAGGGGTTTTTCTCTTGGTTCTTCAGTTTTTCTCCCTCCAACTCCCCCC